TTGTTGGCCCTGTCCCAGCTTTCTTTGGCACGTGTTGCATGGCATCAAATACAAAATGAGTGAATATTTGCAAAAAAAAAAAAAAAAAAAAAAAAAAGGCAATAAAGCGTGTCTGTTTGAATATAAGTTGAAAAGGATTTGCAAAACATCATATTCTGTTTTATTTATGTTTAACACGACATTGCTTTCTTTGGAATTGGGGTTGTATTTTATTTACCACCTGAATGTTTTATTTTTCTATAACGTCTATCACAAACTTTAATTTATTGCAATTGTTTGCCTATTTATTTTACTGGAATTGGGGTTCTATCACTGTATACAATACTGAGCAAGTCAGGGATTTTTAAATAGAATACTGTGTATTTATTCCTAAAGCACTGATTTAGTGTGTAGTAATGATGCTAAATACTAAAAGATTGTGAAGAACTTTTTATACTCAGCAAAGTACCAGTCAGGTGTTGTGTGGCAGTGGGTGTACTGACCAAAAGGCATAAAGTTTAAGAACAAAACAAGAAATGCCCTTGTTCAGAACATATTGTTCTGTCCTCCATAATGGAATCAGAAAACAGCCAGTTTAGATAAGACTATTCAACAAATTCTGGTAGAGAAAAAAAACAACAACTTAATGACAACAAGTAAACCGCAAGAAGACTTGCTAAAACAGATCTGAAAGCTGCTCAAAATGTTTATTTCTGTTGCCACAAATTTGCACAAAAGCTGCCAAAATGTCACAGGCACATTTAGGCGACTAAAAATCATAACAAAAACTTTTTCAAATAGAAAATGTTATTTTCCATGAAAGGGTTAAGCTTTACTTTACATTTTTACATATTTTCAACTTTTTTTATATTGTACAGATTGATGCATCTTCCTTGATATCAGCCTCTGTTATGGCCGCTCCTTGTGCTTTGGCCATCTCCAAGCTGTCTTACCCTGAGACTGAGGAGAGCCACTTTACTTCAGACAAAAATATCAAAGTGGCTTGTGGGTCTGTCACGTTTCATATCTTTTTACCGTGTTTCATTTTTTTACCTCTTTGTTTTATTTGACCTTTTATTTGTCACTTTTTTAGAGATGAACAGAACATTTTGGAGGCTGCAAGCAGTGGTGCATCTGCTTCTATAGGTCTTGTTGCTAACATTGCTGCTAATCTGATTGCATTTCTGGCTATACTTGCATTCATAAATCAGGCATTGAGTTGGCTTGGTGGTATGGTGGGCTATTCTGACCTCACTTTTCAGGTAGGAAAACACAAATTTGTGCTGTTTTGATGAATGATAGTTCTGTTTTTTTGAAGATAGTTTTTTTGTGGAAAGGTTCTGAACCTGATGCCTATAACCTTTTGAACAGCCTGTTAGTTCAGCTTACGGTGCAGCCTGGGACACTTCCTGCAGGATGACTTAATATTTTAATATTTTCGCAAAAGTAATTGCATTAATCGTGAAGGTTCATAATTTTTTTTAATATTGGCAGCATTCAATTTTGTTTTTTACTCTGCTTGTACCGGCTATTAGCTCAGTTAAATTTTTTTCAAACTGAGGGCATTAAAAGAGCTAATATTTTCATATACTCTGACCTTTTCACAAAACTCCACCCTAAAGAAATCTGTATTTCTATAAGTTTACTATTTAAGTTGTAGAATTTGATACAGTTCCTTGCAAAAGCATTGAACCTTGAACCTTTCCATATTTTGTGGCAACTTTATTCCTGATTTGTCTGTTGCTTGGTTTTCATGATGCTCTTTAAATACTAATGTTTGGTAACAAGCCTCTGAGGCCTTGATAAACTGTGTTGCACTAATTAAATTACACACAAGAGGATTCGGTGAATTCTGCTTGCTGTAGTGGGTTTTAGCAAGGAGTTTCAGAGTAAAAAGAAAGCAAATACATACCACATTTTTTTTAGATTCTTAAAAAAACATGGATCATTTTCCACCTACTTCACAATCRAGTTTTACGTTGTGTTGGTCTATTACATAAAATCTCAGAAAATTTTGAAAAGTTTTTGTTTTTATTAAAAAAAGAAAAAAGATAAAGGAAATGTGGAAATGTTCAAGGTCTATGATTACCTTTTCAAGACACTGAATTTTACCCCTTCATTTTGACATTTTTGTCAGTGAATTTATTGGCCTTAACTGTTTCTGTTTGTAGATAATCTGCTCCTATGTGTTCATGCCTGTGGCCTTCATGATGGGAATACCATATGATGAGAGTTTTACCGTGGCCGAGCTCATTGGCACAAAGCTCTTCGTCAACGAGTTTGTGGCTTACCAGAGGTTGTCTGACCTCAAAACCAACAGACTTAATGGACTTGATGAAGTAATAGGAGGTGAAAGAAAGTGGATATCTGTGAGTGAATGTTCTGAGTTGAATAATGCCAATGATGGTAAATTTACTAGTGCTACACAAAACTGGAAGGGAAACAGGTTCACAAGAATTTCTTTCATTTCAGGTCCGATCAGAAACAATCACAACATACGCTCTGTGTGGGTTTGCCAATTTCAGCTCACTGGGAATTGTGATTGGAGGCCTGTGTGAGTATCATTTTACATATAATTTTCATGTTTTTCAATCTTATTCTCAAACATTTGGTCTTCTCTCATAGCTTCTATATGTCCACCAAAAAGAGGTGACATCTCGTCTCTGGTGCTGAGAGCAATGATCACCGGGACGTGTGTCTCTCTTGTCAATGCATGCATTGCTGGTAAAAGTGTCTTATTTTATCCCATCTCTTGAGTCACTTTCTAAACTGATTTACTAAGCTAATACTTGCTTTGTTTTCCAGGACTTCTCTTTGTTCCTCCACTTGACTGTGTACAGATTTTTAAGGTATCTGCCTTCAATGCCACTGATGGAAACATCCAAAAATGCTGCCAAGACTTATTTGAAAGGTATGTAATACCAGGTGGTAAGCTGAAACACCAAAACAATGTCAGTACTACCTATAAAAGTTGAATCAGGTCCTCTGGATGGGGTTTTCATCATTGAAACAAATTTCATATGTTGCAGAAGTTTCAGAGAAACTGAGACATTTATTTTCTAAATATGATGTTCCAGTGGCTTTCAAACACCAAAACACATTACAGCAAAGATGGGTTCACCCCAAAGATCCAGTCCCCCAGCACAAACAGAATAATGTTGTGTATGCTGTTAAGTGCCAGGAGGACTGTGACCAGTTATACATTAGGGAAAGAAATCAGCTACTGGCCAAAAGGATGGTCCAACACAGAAGAATGTCATCATCAGGCCATGACTCTGCAATTAACACTCATCTACAGGCCAGCAGTCACTCTTTCAGGGATGATGTTCTCATCCTTGACAGGAGAAGTGTTGGTTTGAGAGAGGAGTAAAGGAAGTAGTTTTTGTGAAGAATAATTGTCCATCATTGAACGGACGCCTCTGTGTCGAATTGTCTCCCCTTTACAATACTGTTTTTACGAGTATGACTCCGAGCACTAACGATTAGTCGTTAGGCTGATGATCCTCTTTTGCATGTAAACAACCAGATTCCATTGTCACCAGTAAATTGGTTGATCCACTATACAAAGGTACTGTTTATAAGGGCGAGCTCATCTGCAAACACCTCAGACTGAAGAAGTGTCTTAGAGAAGAGACGATCAACATTTCAATGAAGAAGAACCTATCCAGAGGACCTGATTCAACTTTTTTTTTTTTTAGATTTTATACCTGGACATTTGAGATGCATCAAGATAATGTCAGTGCTAAATTAGAATATTAAATTTTGACGTGTCCCTTTTGTTTTCCGATTACACATTTCTATTCGACATGACAAGTGATTTCTTTTTGCAGCACTGTCAACAACGGGACCATCTGGTTTGAAGGATCGTGGAGTTCGGTCCCAAATGTCACAATGTTTTTCTCCAAATGTTGTCAGTGTTGTGGCCTTTTGGATGTGCCTGTTTGTATGTAGCAACAAACCGTCTCCAATGTCTTATAACCAAACAAACCTGTTGGGTTATGAGCCATAAGCTTGATGAAGCCTCACATTTTTATGAGGAGGCAAATGTCCCAATAATGACGGATATTATTTTATATTAAAATTTATTGTGCCAGCAAATAACATACAATTGAAGCAAAATGGCATAACACAAACATTTTAAGTCATGCCTGTGTCATACAGATTCACCAAGACATGTCAATGTCATTTTTTACAATATAACGAACATTTAATACCATGCGTTATGAGGATAAATAAGTGTTTCTTCACAGCAGAGTGGTTTGAGCCATCACCTCCAGTCTGGGGGCATGTTCTTTCTGTGCACACATGGGTTTTCTCTAGGTACTCCAGTTTCCATAGCATGCATTTTAAGTTCACTGGTAACGTTTAAGTGTCCCTTGGTGTGGGTGAGTGTGTGGATGGTTGTTTGTCTCGTGTGTCTCTATGTGTCTGTGATGGACTTGTGACCTGTCCCCACCTCTTTCACAATGACTGAAAAATGGCACCAGCTCATTTTGAAAGGAAAAGAAAATGAATAGTGGATTTTATTGAAGAGGCACACATACAATCAATTGGGTTCCATGAACATTTAATTACAAACTAAGGTTTCTTTCCACAAGGCCCAGAGTTTTAAACATCTGTACACAGTATTTGTATCACATTTAATGTAAATTTAATGTACAAGTGTTTGTCTTTTAAAAGATTACGTCCTGTGTATTATATGGTTCAATAATTTAATTTATTTAATGCCAGTGATTCACTGTGAGAAATATAACTTGTGAAATATTCCATCATGAGAGCTTTGGTGAATGTAAATGTTTTCAGTTTAATAAAAAAACTCTGATGTCTATGAACAGTTGTAGGTAAAAAGTCAAACTTCAGAAAAATGCATCCATGGATTTGATTTGACACTTTTATTAAAAAACAAGAATCAATTGACATGGTGGAACATATCAAAGATCTGACAATTATTCCGCTAACCACACACTTTTCATATATGTTGATTTTTATCAGATGTTTTTCCCGCTCTTGAATTTATGTACACATAAAGTCAATATGACTTTATGTAGTCATAAAAAATATTTCAACTACATCTAAAACTTTCCTCCATTGTTTGTGTTTTTGTTAATAATACACCTTCATGTCTTGTGGGGAAATCATTGAACAGCTAAAGTTTACAAGTGACTACTCATTTGTAGCCTCATTAATCAATAACCATGATTTCACTGCAGAAAGATTTTTTTTAATGTCTGGGTCATTTGTAAAAACAAAACAAACAAACAAACAAAAACAATCCCTGACTTCTGTTGTATATTATTACTGCAAACTCATTCCTGAGCAGTGTCAGTCTTATTTTCAGCCTCGTGTCCACACACACTAACATTGGATCACATTTTAACAAATGTTTTTACTAAAGTTTAGTTTCAGCTGACCAGTTTTAAAGAACATCAAAAACAGCTTTTTCTGCTAAATCTCAGTTAATGTGAAACACATCTATGGAGATCAACAAGTTCCTAAAAATTCAGGCTACTTTCTGAATTTTTATTTTTTAATTTTTTTTGGTTTCTTAATTTTACATTTTATTATCTTACACTCCACAGACCAAGTTCCCGAACTCGTTATGACTTCATTTACATGTTTTTTGATAAAAAGACCTGGTAATCCCATTCCAGCTTGTTGATTACCAGTTCTATTTATCAAACAAAATATCATTTGACACCCTTTGTAATAGACTCAAAATCTGATGTGAATAGTTCAAAAACAAAGTGCACGCAAAACTTTTTAATTTAAAACTAGTGCTGCCTTTCCACAGCATGACTTTGATGTGTAACAAAATGCTGCAAAGCCTCTTATGAGCCTAAAAAATAAATATGCAATGTTCACAAATAATACAGTACATTCTGTGACTGTAGACAAGTGCAAGTCATCTTATATGCCTAATTCGGATGCCTTAAAGCTGAAATCTCCATTTTACATGGCATGTTGCTTAGACAGAGTGTTATGTCCTTTAATAGAGCTAATAAGACTGAGGCAATTGACTTAGCAGTTTAATCTCTTAAAGTGTCTCTTTAAACCTCTTACAATAAAAGCTGTCAGTCAAACAAACACCCCCAGTAACGTAAATACAAAAATTCACAGTGATTGCGTTGTCTGTTCAGCTCAAGAACCTTCTAAAAATAGAGACAATACTAATCAGTACCAGGATAAAAACTTATTTCCTACCTTGATTCAGGAACAGAAAGAGTTTCTATAGGCTTGGGTTTACCTTCTGATTTACTGTCCTCTGTCTCTTCAACTTTTCTTGTTACTTTTGGGCTACTATTTGACTTTCTGGGCATCTGAGGGCTGTGTCCTTTTCTCTGGACCTGTGGGCTGCCGGTGCTTATCCTGCGGTTGAGCAGGGGACTTTTGGAGCCCTTTATCTTGGTGGATTGTTGCAGATCTGCAGGCTTAAGCGGGCGCAGGCCGAGAAGTCCACAGTAGTAGCTGCACTGATGATGAGTTAGGAACTGATCGAATACTTCAGGGGAACCACATTCTGTAAGTCCTTGGTATCTGAAAACAGAAGACGCAACAATTGTTTTTGAGCTGCATTGTTAAGGCACGCAAAAAGGATWATGCACATATTCTGAGATACAAACCCTTTTGACTTGGTCGCAACTTTAATATTTGTAATCTTTGTTTCAACACCTGCAAAAGCCAAAGCAAAACAGTTAAGTCTTTTAAATGTTTAACCTGAACAAGCACAGATGAAACAAACGATCGCTCTCTTTACCTTGACCATATATACAGTATGTGACTCACCTTCAAGCTGTGTAACCAGCAAATTGCCATGAGTCCACTGATGGATCCAGTGCTGGAAGGTGCAGCATTTCTGCTCCAGCTCTGAACTGCTTTGTGAAGTCAGTTTGCCTTTGCGATCTATTGTGCAATACTTCACAAAGACCCCTGGAAGATCTGTCTCCACTGTAGCATATGGCACAGAGTTCGCAGGCCCATAAATCAAATATCGAGGAATCACTCTGCAAGCAGTACAGTTGATTAATGGGATGACAAAGGGCTTTTTAAAAAATATTTTTAAAAAGTAAACTGTGTAATGTATTACACTCACTCCAATGAAAAGCCAAAGTTTTCATTAACTCTCGCTTCAGCTGCAAAGATTTTACAGTATTCTCGGATCATGGTTTGGACTTTACATTCCTGCCAAAACAATTAATTCAATAAGCAGAAGAATGCATTGCAATTCTTTTACTGGACAACTTTTAAGAGCTTGTGAAATTACACTCACTTGTTTCGTAATTTCAAGATTTCTCTCTGCAAGGTTGCTCTCGTGTTTGGTTCCGTAGGCAATGGGGTTTCGAATTTTGATGATACATGTGCTTCCAGACTCAAAGATGGGATCCAGGCCGTAGATCACCTTCACCCTGCTGGCTTTGTGAGTGCAACCCTCCCCGACGTGCATCGTCTCAGTTAAAATGCGGCCAAAGTACTTTTCACCCCAGGTGCCACTGTCTGCCAGGCCTTTGGTAAACAATAATGGGGTCATCTCGATCTCCACTCCAACTGCAGGAAAACAGAAACACAGTTACTACGAGCAGTAGAGAGCTCAAATAACATGTAATATGTAAGTAAAAGTACCTTCCAAGTCATCTTTTAGAAGTATTTCAGACAGAACTGMAAAACAAAATCCAAAGAATGTTGTTACTGATATAATCTGCAACTTTAAAACTAAAAATGGATTCTGCATCTTACTGTCTTCGCTGAGCAGGAAGTCAGTTGTGTCACTCCCGTACTCATTACTGATTGTACAAGCATACACGGCACAGTCTTGGTTGGATGCATGAACAATCGCCAGYGCTACTTGGGTTTCATCTCCTCCGCTTTAGGAGAAAAAAACAGGGAATGACACAAAATCATAAACACCTAAGAGCTGAGGGGGCATGTCAGACATGAAAGTTCACCAACCAGCCACAAGGTGCCACTGTGATAAAGATGGCCATTCTCTGTGACAGCGGTCTGCTGACACAGCAACCATTAGCACATTTATAGACTTTTAATGCACCCTGGAGATGGGAAAATATTGTGTCAGGTTACACTTGACGTGTCTAGCCAGAGATTCACCTCTCTGTGTCACAGCTGAGGAGTACACAGCCCCATGAGCCGGTCGTCTCTGCAGTGAAAATGTGAGAATGACACAGGTCCATCTGATACACTCTGAGAGCCAAATACTTGTTGCTTTTATTATTATAATAATACCAGTGGAAAAAGGGAAATCCGTGTCAGTAACTGCAACCAGCACGTGGTTAGATTACCGTCGACTCATTAATGAGTGGGCATTTACCTTCTTTTCACCTCAAGTATTTCTTCCTCATCTTTAAACCATTTAATGGTGGAGTCACTGAGCACATTGAAAAACTGGCACCACAGCTTCAAGTGTCCGGAGGCGTCTGGGAATGGCTCTCCTCGGATCTTACGAATAACCTGAGGAGCTGGGGGGAAATTGTGTTGAAGGAAGACAGCAAGATAGACGGTGTCCTCAATGAATAAAAAGATATTAATTATTTACCTTTCAAGGGGTCTGCCTTCTTTCCAGATTGTTTCTCATCTTCCTTGGTGCTGGCGGGCTCTCCTGTCGGAATCTCATCCCCAATCTTTGGCACCTCCAAGGTGGCCTTCYTGCGACTCATCAAAGGAGAGCGCCTCTCGATCGGTGGGGTTTTTTGTCCCGTAGAAGCCTGTAGCAGTGCTGCTCTGCGTGCCTGGCTGGGCGACTTATAGGGATTCTCCTTCTTGCCTTCCAGCATGCCCACCAAGGCTCCMTCTACTTCATCTTTGCTCCTAGGGAGGAAGATTTTACGCCGAGCGCCGGAGGCCAGCTCCTCAGGCGTAGCGGACCGGATGAGTGTCAGACTGTCTCTGCGTTTGAGTCGGGGACTGCTTTCACATGAAAGGGATGATGTTGGCGTCGAGCCTCCACTGAGATCTTCATCGGCTTTGTCACTTTGACGATCGTCCACGGAGATTACTGGGACACTCGTGGCAATCTCATTGTCTGCGTCCGTTGCTGCTTTGGACATAAATTTGCGAAGACTGGATGGACTTAGTGAGGGATACGTTGGGGGTTTGGAGCTGAGTCTCTCCACAGAGGGTTTGCTTTTTAGGAAATCTTCAACAGACGAAGGATTCTTGGCATCTTTGATTGATTTCAGCTTCGAGACTTCTGGGACAGTGTTTTCTTCTGTTGCTTTAGTCAGCGTTGGCACATTCCCACCAACCTTTGGTGTCAGAGTTTCACAAAGCACAGCTGGCGGGTTCTCTTTTGCACTCTTTTCGAATAATTCCTCAAAGTCTTGACCTCTTTCAGGCATTTCAAGCTTCGTGTTACTCTCGACACTCTGCTTTGTTCCCTTTTGTGTGCCAGCAGAAGTTTCTGTTTCTATGTTCTCGCTGGGAGAGGGCCGTTCAGGCTCAGGATCGCTTTCATGACAAGTGACAGAAATTGGCGGAACCACAAACAGAGATTCCTTTGAAATGTCGGAAGCACGCTCTGTACATGAACCCCTGATCACACCATCATCCAGGTCATCGGTGCATGAAACACTTATGACAGGAATTGATGTATACTCTATTTGTGGGAGCTGCGCACCGTTCAGTGAATGTTTTTGCTGCTGCTCAAGCTTTTCTTGAGCAACTTTTTCTGTAGGTGAGAGGTCATCGTTATTCTGCATTCCTCTCTGTGTGGGGAACGATCCAAGAAGTTCTGCCTCACTCTGGTTTTGAACAATCATCTTTGACTCATTGGTTACATCATGTTTTTGTAAATCATGTGGTTCTGGCCTGTTTAGAGCCAAAATGCTTAGTGGCAAAGAGCATTCTTTAAGCTCAGGCTCCATTATTTCAATTTTTGGGATCATAAAWTTTTCAACTGTGCTGAAATCGGGCATTGATGGTTTGATAATTGGCACATCTTCAATAGTAGATATTTGGATCGATGGAATGTTACCTGTGCCAGAACCATATTCATCATGCCAACMTTTTTTACTAGCATTTTTCTCATTGCTTTGTGTCACTTCAAGTGTATTGGACTCCTCTAAATTCACTGAAATCTTTTCAGTCACAAACTCTAACTGTAAACTCTTATTTTTCTCTTCACTCTTCAAAGCTTGTACTTTTAAACTTTCAAATAAATTTATCTCTAGATCTTCTTCTAAAGCAGATTTCAAAATTTCTCTTGACTCACACTGCTCCTCGTTGTATTTAAAAGTTGCGTTCAAAGTCTGCCTCGATTTCTCGCTGTTGACCTCTGTTTTATCCACAACTACATTGATGTGTTCGTGTTGCTTTTTTAGGTCACCTGTCTCTAATGCCCCCGATACTTCAGTGGGAGGAAATCCTGCATTCATTTCCTGAATCAGAGAGGCACATTTGGTCTTCTCCTTTGGTTGATCTTTCTCGTCACCACATACTTCCACCACAGCAGGCGGTGAAAGCACCTGATGTGATGATTTCGAGTCAGCCAGCTCAGATCTGTCTTCCAGCATAGATGGTGATATTTTTGTAATCTCAGATCTGTTTATATCTGAAAGTGGCTGTTGGTTTAATCTCACTTCAACTTTCTCTTCCTTAAATAACCTATTGTAGGAGAGACCAGGTTCTGTGTCAGGTTCTCCTGTTTTGCTCAATGGAACATTAATCTCCTCATTTAGCAGAGTTTCAGTGAGTTCTACCTCAGGGTTACAGCTATCTGTTGGTGAGATCACACCCCGAGCCAGAGTCCAGCAATCTTCTGAMCTAGCGTAGGTGGGTGGGAGGCTGCATTCTTCGTTAGCAGGGGCCTGGCTTTGTGACACAATGGATTGATCTTCTTTTTCAGTTTGTTGAACGACAAGCGGCTGATCTGACTCAAGATGTTGTAGCAGATCCTCTTGGAGGATTTCAGAGTTCCCCTATTAGAAATCAAACAAATAAAAAAAAAATTACATAATTCAATTTGAAACCTTGGATGGATCTTAAAAGGGACGTTTCATGCAAAATCCACTTTCTCAGCAGTTAAATTCAACTTGCTGTCTACCTGGAGCCTCTGAGTGCATAAAAGTTGGACTTAGTCTTTCCTGGTGCTGCATAGATAACTTTACATTCTTTTTGGACCTGATCAGTTTTCTCTATTTTCTGTGTGAGGTTTAGTATGCAGATCAACCCAGGGAACAGGCAAGTCAGAGCGTAGCGACAAAAAATATTTATTTAATAAAGAATAACRCTGTTGAGGCAGCTTCAAAGAACACACGGGAAACTTCAACGAGGAACACAAAGACCACAAGSAACATCCACACAGACTGAGGGAAACAGCACAGTGATCCAACAAACGCTGAGGAGATAGAACATAAAATCAAACTAGTGAGGGGTAAATAAGAAATACCTGGAGGGGACACACGGGAACAGGTGAGTGTGGGCGGGGCTAGAGCAGAGGCAGACAGGAGGGCAGAATGGAAAAAACAGCAGGATAAACAGAGAAAACACTATTAACTAACTGCACACCAATAACAGAAAATACACAGATAGACACAGACCATGACACAATGACGTTCTCTGAACTATTATGTCACAGAATTTGTGGCGGAACCGCTAAATAAGGTCTGGACTTAACAACTACAATTTCATCATCTTTATTCTTCTCTGGCTCCAACATGTAAGGCTGGATGGACAAGTTTTTTCTTGTTGACATCTTTTACTCATTTGTAAAAAATAAATAAATAAAAATAATAGGTTTCTGTGCCGCTAGTCGTAAACCCCTCTCTCAAATTACAATATACCACTC